CCGCATACAGAGTATGTGTGCAATTCTTTATCGGATATAATATTCATAAAGATAAATCAGTAGACTAAACTCAAGATTATATTTACTAACCTTAAAAGTAACAAAACTTTAAAATATTGTCTAAAAATCTAAAGAGAATTATATAAATTTGCTAATATATATATTTAAGAGCAGCATATATCGTGAGTTAACACCTACAGAAATAACGAAAATGTGACATTTTAAAAAGTGTTCTTCTGGAGACCTAGACCTACTTAAGCCGATTCAATGTATTCATAAATCGTAGTCTACAGGACTACTATACTGTGTTTTTTTTATTGGGCGGCTCTATGCCGCCCTCTCGTTCCCATAACATGTTTTGGCCAGGGACCTGGGGTGCGGGTTTTATCTTTATTTCAATAAAAAAGTGTAAAAATCTTTATGCTATAATGTCTTACTGTTCTACCTTTTAAACACACCTGGATATTTTAACCCGACGCTCTCTTTAATGTGGCATTAATTTGTTATTAAACTTTTCTATAATAATACCTAAATTAAGTAGCCCATTAAATATTTATTTTAAATCTACTTTAAGAGAATCATAGTATTACCCTAAAAGAATCGAGTCAAACATAGTCGTAATGGAGTAACTCACTTTTAAATATCGGTCAAACCATTTAACATACAGATAACAATGTTACGGTCAATGATAAACGTGTACACGTGTAAAATATTAATTGCCTCCATTTTATGGAAATATCACAAAATCCACGAAGTCCCAAGAAAACCAATAACCTGTACTTGTTTCTGGTATATGGTTTTTTCGGTATAATTTTTGTAGTTATCAATAAGCATTATTTATGAAAGGGACGTTCCCTTTTGGTACAGCAAATAACTTTCCACTTTACCACAGAACTCGACCAAATAAATTTTTAATTATTGTTTTATGACTTTGCGCGATGAAATATTGGACGCGATGTAGTTTTAAAGTTTACTTAAGAATATTTTATATAGTATTTCTGTTCGCCATTACATACAACGAAAAGTTAAAATAATTTTTCGAAAAGTAACTTTTGACACTTCAATATTTTTATTATAAAATAAAATATTAATATTTCAATACAAACCTCGCAATCTTGTTGATTTGATGAAATTTCGGGGTAAAATTTCCCTTTTCACTTAAATTTCCAGGTCGCTTTTATTCCAAAAATTTCAATGGACAAATCATTGTGATTAAGAAATTCTTTCAAATTTATTTTGTTGTTTTCCTTACACTTGTAACATTTTCTTTAATTTTTTTCGTAAAAAAGCTACTTTTTAAAAATTATTAATAATACGTTTAAAAATTTCATCTTACAGTTAAAATATTTCACATCTAACTCATGAAGTTTTCTCCGTCTAAACATAAATATTTTTGCATTCCAAGTTTACACAGTCGTTGGTACAAATGCGAGCTCTCATTTCAAAAGCCCTCAGTCGCGACTGCACTCGACCACTTTACCTTACGTACATTTTTGTTTACATTCCCAACGCACAACATGAATGCATATTATTTTTCAGTTATCATCTCCATTTTTACAATCTATAAGAAACAAAGAGGTTCTAATAATTTCCTTTTTAGAAATTAAACATTATGAATACTATAATATGGGAAAAAAATTAAGAACGCTATTAACTAGATCTTATTGTATTTATTAAATGGTAAAAAACTTTACTTTTAAAAAATTGTGCGTATTATAACTTCAAATAATTTTAAATTAACTTTAACATTTTTATATTGTTCATAAATTTAATGAGAATTCTGCAATTTAAAATGCTTTTAGCTTCATGTACTTTATAGAAGGCAATTTGTAAGCAGACCGCGACTGGAACGATAAATTGCCTCCGTGGACAAACAGGCGCCGACGTATTGACTTTTGCAATTCGAGCTCCAGGTACGGGATCACTCAGTGCAAATATAACTTACGCAATATTACTATTTACTACGTAAATATGGCAGTAAATGCAGTACTAAATATTTTACTATTATTTAATGTAATAGAGTGGCACCTAAGTCAAGATAAACATGTTGATTTTCTAAAGGATTGTATTGTATAAAGGCAAATCAAATTAAACTGGAACCAAATATTCAAATCAAAAAGTCAAATATTCCATATAAATATATTGTTGTCATTAATATACATTTTTCACTTACGGCTTAAAATTCTAATCGGGGTAAACACAGTTTCGCAAATTTTAAAATTAAAAACAAAAAACCAATTCTTGTAAAAAAATTAAAAACATAATTTAAATATTTCACTGTGTTTTATATTAAAAAAAAATTATTTGAACCTAAACATGCAAAAACGAGACAAAATCTAACTTGAAATTTATGCAATCATGGAGTTATCAATTCCTGTATCAATAATAAAATTAACTACCACACTACCATTTATTTTCCTCTAAGGTAGTTTAAATTAGTCCAACTTACAGCATCATAGTAGATAATAGTAACACAAGTGTGCATCGTATACAAAGTTCCCGAGGACCATAATCTCCATAAGCTGTTCTAAGTAGTTCTAATATTGTTCTACATAATGGATAAGTTGTCGGGCAATCCCTACGGCCTGATAACTTAATACAATGATATGAACGTAATATGTTTAATATCAATTTCGGGTCCCGAGGGAAATACCATTTATTAATAATATATCTACTTTATTGATCATTACCAATTATATTATGGTAATAAGATGAAATTATTAACTAAAAGTACCTATAGTCAGTATATCGTGCACGACGGTTTCGGGTCTTAGCATAACCAAACTTAACGTGTTGCAATGGTTGGCGTAATATTGTAAATACATGAAGTGGCACTTACCAACTAAATGCCTTGTTCACCGCCTGCAGGTGCCTGGCCACTCTATTGATGACAGTCGAGTCAAATTAGTCACTGTCAAATAGTCTTAAAGTGACAGCAATGCACTCCTAATGCACCCGATACACAGCTTCCCGTAAGCGCGCTATAGTCGAGTCGTTGTCGATCCGAATGCGGCACCATGAACTCTTAAGCGACCATGTGCGCTAAGAAACCGACAAGTCCGATGTTTGACTATTTCCGTTCAACTTCCGTCGATCTCGATGCCGACTCACAACTCACTCAACTGTCGACTCAAACAAGCACCCTCAGTCCCCGCACCCGAGGATGGCGGTGACGGATTTTTTAACTACCCGCTTGTTCAGAAGAATAAAATTGTGTCAGCTTATCTACATCAAAGCGCGTATACTAAACCGCGAAATTCAAAACTATAATCGTCATTGAAGATACGTCTGTGTAAATAGAATTAAAGACAATATTAATCAAATAAATAATCGCTTTTTAAGCTGATAACTGGACTTGGCTGAATTAATTTATATCATTTTAAAAACACATCTATGTGTCTATAAGTCATACAACGCCTAGGTATCTCAACAATAACAGACAAGTCGTTTTTCATTAATATCAATGTAATTATCCTCTACAGTCGTATGAATCATGAATACGACGTAATAAAAATAACGTCTCGTTCAACATTCACATTTACGACCAGTGAAATAATGCAATTGTCGGTGCAATTTATTTTTATATCGACAGCATTCGATACCGATGCTGCATTTAACGAGTTCACCATCCTTGCTGTCTGTACCAAATAAAATTAAAAACATTTGAGAACCAAACAATAATGATTTCAGTATTATTCTTAACTTGCTGTTACCCGCGACTCCCTCCGCGCAATGTTGTAGTAAAACTTATAATTAAACTGAAAAAGTAGCCTATGCGTTCTTCCAGACTATGTTCTATGTCTATGCCAAATTTCAGCGAGATGCGTTTAGCCGCTCCGGGGATACCTTCAAACGTCCATTCTTCTAAACATTCGCAATGATAAGCGTATTAGTAAGAAAAACAACTTTAAAATTCAAAACATACGACACGAGAATTTTTTTTAAAAGACTTCACTTTATCTTTGTGAAGAAAATATTTTCACGGCTTCCAAACTTATTTATTGAAATCAAATAAAGATTTTGAACTTCATTTTTATCCCTATACGTTACCGATTTATTTATGGATGCTTGTTTAATTTTAGAAGTATGTATCAATTACGTAGAAGACAACAGTAGAAGTAGTTTTAACAGTGTTAGAACCCGCTTTACCATCTTCGCACGACTTGGCCCGGCTCGCCCGGTGAAATACCACGACCACACAGAATACAGGTGTGAAGTGGAAGCGATTCCGCGTTTCGTCTGATGAGTGTGCGTCCCGGAGGCCTAATTTAGTCATCTTTCCCTTCCCACCCTTTTTTTTCATATAAGGAAAGAATGGAAAGTGGAAGTGGATTTTCTGGATGAGAGGATGCATGGAAAGGGAAAATGTTTTCTTTGTGTCCTTACTCTCCTCCGTCTATTGAAGGTGGGCGACTCATATGCAATTTCGTATGTCTATGGGCAGCGATAGCTTCGCTGTTTCAGCGATTTCAGGTGGCCGCTCGCTCGTTTGCCACCTTATGATATAAAAAAAATAAAAAGAAGAACGAGTGTTTACTAAAAGCATCAAAACATAAAAACAGAGCTTCGCACTTGAAGCATACACAAAGTTTTCAACACATAATCGGATATTTAATAAGTACGATAAAAACATAATTTTAAAAGTGCCTATCTTAAAATATATTGTTTTAATGCCCTTCTTGTCTGTTCACATATAACACGACACTGCTTCCTACTTGAACGTGTAAATTATTCGCTTTCAACGTGATATCATCTTTAAAATAATTATAATAAGTTAAAAAAACATGACTTGCTTCTCACTTGACTACATCCGCATATTTTCCGTTAACATAATATATCCAATTATTTAATTTCCACATTCCTAAGAATATACATTATACACAATATACATTTATACATTAAGAATTTTTTACTTAACCATTAATAAAACCTGTAAAACTTTGAAAAAAACACAATAAGTTACAGTCAACTTTCAAGTTAAAATAAAAGTGATATTTTTTGGAAACTATTTATTTTACACTTATTACAACATCGGTCGTTTATTCAGTACTTTACCACACACTCACAACAATGTCTATAAATAATCAACACTTGGATCAGCGTTCAGGTATTGATCCACTTAGCACCATGGGTCAGACACGTAGTACCCTGAAGACGGGTAGTACGATCTGAAATTATAATACAAACAAAAATATTAATATATTTGCAAATTATTTACGAACACATTGCAATACAGACTTTTCTAGAATATGCCGAAATACCTTTTGTTGATCTATCTGTACTTAATTGCTATTTGGTATTATGACAACAGTAAAACAACAAATTACTAATCCACGATATGCAATTAATCTTCCTTTATTACCTGTATCCACCACCGTATCCGTATCCGCCGTATCCACCATATCCACCTCCGTATCCACCGCCGTATCCACCGCCATAGTATCCTCCGTAACCGCCATAGCTCCTGCCATGTCCGTAGAGGGCACCAGAAGCAAGCGCTCCACCAACGAGACCAGCACCGACTGCTTTAGCTCCAATTATACCGGCGCCAAGTCCGAGAGCGCCTGCACCAATTACTCCGGCCCCAAGAGCACCAACACCTGGAATTTATGTAACCTTTATCCCACATGTTTATGTATCCCACATGGTCCAATGCAATATAAAGCTTTTACCACGGACTTTGGTACTTTTATAAATTCACATCGTTCATGTCTTCTATCTTCTTTAATAAATATTTTAATTACTAAAATTATTTTGAACCATTACAAACTTGTCTAAGAATACCAGTAGCTATGTATCTTCATAGCCCCATAGGGATACTGCGAAGTCATCTAGACCAATAATGACGCGCCTGCTTTCAGATGTGAAATTTTCCGACATCCGTATTACATTACATTATCATCGATTCGCAGAAATTCTAATATAATATTACGTAGTTTTAATATGCTCATTTCTTTCTTCAGTCTAGAAACAATCTTATTCATTTATCAAATTTAAAATAAACTCACCGAAGAAAAAACGAGAATTTAGTTTTTAATAATCCTCTTAATTTATTTATGTACCTACTAAATGTCAACTCATATAATAAGTAATTCGTAAAAGAATAATACGATACAAGATTGAGTCAAGAATATGCTAATTTAGTTCTATTTATAATATATCATGAAGGCATTTTAATATTTGAAAATAATCAGTACCACACTCCTTTACCTAATGACTACCATACATTATCATAACGAGTTGCGTGATGAACAAATTTGCAAATAATTTATATGAAAAATGTATTTCTTCAAACATCCTCATTCAAAGGTCACCTTACAGGCAATCACGATGCTCTGGTACTCGTACCAAATTTCTTACTTTTTTAAATTTTATGACCTGGTAACATAGACCTTTAAGTAGTATAGTATAGTGGAAAATGTTCATTACTTTAGTTAAATTTCTTAAGAACAAACAATCAGGCAGTAAAAAAAATAATTGCATAATAATGATGTCTACATGTAGAAGAATAAACCTAAAAAATACTCTTGCTAAAATTACAACAAAGTCATAAGTAATCTTCTTTCAAGGATTCTCTCATCCAAAGTAACCTAATTAATTCATGCCATGTATAATCTGTGGTCTATACAACGTTAAAAAAACGTACCAAGAAGTCCAAGATGTCTCTTGTCTCTGACATGGATGACTCCTGCAGGTTGTGCCTGCTCCCTTGGCTGTAATGCAGTCAGCAGAGGACCATGCTCAACGGCGAGCGACAAAGCGCAACCCGCCAACACGAAGATTACCACACTTAATTTCATTTTCTGTAACATAATCCCAAAGTTAAAGTACTAGTAGTAAAAATATTGACGTAGTTGCAAAAATTCATTATCATCTTGAAACATTAAAATTAGGTTTATTTGTAAAAATATTTTTCACATACATTTTAACATTATTTAAATGATTTGATTATTTATTTTTAGTTATCTTTTAAAAAACAAAAAAAATTATTCACTTAATTTAAAAAAGCAAAAATGTTAAAACAAAAATGTCATTGTTAAAAAATGATTTTTCTACCTTTAAATTATCGGACGCGTAGCACACACAAACTGAGACAGGTCAACTGTTCAGGACTGTGTCGTCCGTGTCTTTTATAGGTCGACGATATTCGACCATATATTGTTTAAATTACCGGTATCCTATAGTCTTGTCACTGCCCCGCCTTAAAACAGTGTTCTCAAGTAAATAATCTTATTTCTTATTAATATTATAAATCAGAATGTTTGGATGAATGGATATTTGTTTGCAGGTATCTCCAGAACGGCTGAACGGATCTCGATGAAATTTGACACAGATGTAGAACATAATCTAGAAGAGCACATAGGCTATGGATAATTTTTTTTAAATTCCGCACGGACTGAGTCACGGTCGACAGCTAGTATGTCAATAACAGGGCTATGTAATTTAAGACTATTAAAATTCATAAAATATTTTTATCAGTGACAAGTGATTGAAGATTTAAAATTATACCTTTATATCACGTCAATGAAAGACACTTTATGCCACAATAAGAATCGTTTAACGGTTAATTAATCTCTCTCTTGGATCTTCTTTAAAGACCATAAAACGATTCAGAGTTGACATTGTTATAGTAGATTTTTTTTATATCATAAGGTGGAAAACGAGCGAGCGGCCACCTGAAATCGCTGATATAGCGAAGTGACCGTTGCCCATAGACATACGCAAATGCATATGCGTTGTCTACCTTTAAACGACAGAGAAGAGGATGCACAGAAATAAAATATATTCCCTTTCCATGCATCCTCTCATCTGGAAAGTCTACTTCCACTTCCCATCCTTTCTTTATAAGAAAAAAGGTGGGAAGGGAAAGAGGACTAAATTAGGCCTCCGGGACGCACACTCATCAGAAGAAACGCGGAATTGCTTCCACTTGACGCCTGTCTTCTGTGTGGTCGTGGTATTTCACCGGGCGAACCGGGCCAATTCGTGCGAAGATGTTAAAGCGGGCTCTACCACTGTTAAATGATGTTATTGATTGAATTTGATACGTAATGCCTGTACACATAAATTGACACACACCTTATTAACTCTACAAGGATGTTTTAGAATTGTAACTTGAGACTTTTCTTATTTAATCTGTTCATTTGTTCATTAATTAAATATTTCTAAGATAACGAAACTAGTTATAAACTGTAAACAGACACTTGATGGCGTAACATCCGCTATAACATTTGTTTGCAAAAATGTACAAATAAGGGAAACCACAACGGAATTCACATATATGATAGACAGACAGAGAAAAATTTATATTTTCATTATGAATAAATCAAATACATTATGTTTTTAGGGTTCCGTACCTCATAGGATAAAAACGGAACCCTTATAGTATCACATTGTTGTCCGTCCGTCCGTCTGTCAAGACCTTTTTATAAGCGGGCAAGCTAGAGGCGTGAATACAGAGGTAATCAACGACGCCCATAGATTACAGCATCAGAGAAACTGCACATGCATACAGACATTGCAATTTTATGAATTCTTATAAACAAGAAATGTTGAAAAATATTTTTTAAGCCAATTCCTTCTTTTAGCAATTCATTTTTAAGTTTTTAGTATATATTTGGACTTGGATTTTACCACGTTCTTCTATTTAACATATCTTTCCTATTTTTTGTTGCATTCTTCATAAATTCTAAGATTTTTTTATAATTTATGGTAGCATTTACTAGCCTAAATAATTATTTAAGTAAAAAACAGGTTATTGCCAACGTGATAATTAAAAGTGTCTATACGTAAAACATATCGACTAATTCTACGTCGAACTATTGTAAACAGCATTGGCACGTCATGCTGTGAATGACCTGACGCGGCAACGAAATTCAACATTAGGGTAACCAAACATTTATCTGCTATACCTGATTTTCGTTTATTTAACAATTCCAAAAAAAAAATTCTTTAAATATTGATTTATGAATGTTTAGCATTAATATAATATAAAACTCAAGAAAACACTATACTTTAATTGACGAATAATAACGTTGGTTGATTGATTATACAAAGGAACTTTATTAAATGTAAACAAATAAAGAAGTCCTTTTTATTTGTATCAGTAGAGAACTCTTGTGGTTACCCTAATCACGCAATGTCAACGCGGCGAAGAATTTCATGGCCATGTCACTTGCACTTGTCTCGTTATGCTCAAATCGGGAAATTTTAAGACCCTATCAACATGAATTATTAAATTTTTACAATACAAAGGTATTATAAATATTATATACTTGTTTAAAAATAAATAAAAACACCTTCCGCGGAAGAAAATAACTTTTGTTTTCTGAAAACAAATTTAATTTAATTATAATAATAATTCTCTTCTAAGCATAACAATCGCTTTTCTCCTCCTGCCTTAAAAAGTAGGAAGTTAATTATCTTATTGTAACCTATTTAAATTATACAAAAACATCAAGAAATAGTAAACTAGCTGGTTATTTAAAAATTTCCGCCCAAAAAATAATAAACAAACTTAATTATATTCAAAAATCAAAAACAGGCTTTGACTAAAACTTGTTTAACCTATTTAGTAGTTGAGTAACTCTATGTTCTCATGTCACATGGAAAAAACATTTAAAATTATAAGACCTATTATCATGTTTCATAAATATTAATTACTAGCTGTCGCCCGCGATTCCGTCCGCGCGGAATTAAAAATAACATAATTAGTAGCCTATATGTTTTCCAGACTATGTACTATATGTATGCCGAATTTCATCGATATCCGTTCAGCCGTTCTGGAGATACATGCAAACAAACATCCATCCATCTATCTAAACATTCGCATTTATAATATTAATAAGATATTTTGGGATAAATCGTAAATGTCAATTAAAAAAAAAACGTACAAGTAAAACGACCTGGTTAGTTTAAAAAATATAGTATGAGATAAATCCAGTATACTTTTCTTTCTTTAGAAGAATAATAAATAAACCAATTCATTGTGATTTGGAATTATTTTTGTGTATAACTTATCAATCTCTATTGATAGTCAATAGTCAATGACTTATAGGTTTTTCCCATCCTGTACTCTTACATAAAATGTTTATGCTCTCAGATGATAATTAGTTTCATGACCAATTCTATCTTCATACTTTAAATCCAAGGTTGACTTCACCAATATATTTTTTTAAATCTATGATGTTAAATAAAATGTTATAAACGAATAATCAATTAAAATATATTATTAAAAGGAGTCCCTTTAGGCAAGGTTCCGAAAATACTGGCAGTATTTTTTTAAATTATTCCTATAAAACATGAACATTTACTTTTAAAGATATCAACGTTTCTATCTTATTTCTTACTCATATTATAGATGCGAATGTTTTGATGGATATATGTTAGAAGTTATCTCCAGAACGGCTGCATAGATCTCGCTGAAATTTGGCATTTCAGAAGATAGCCTGGAAGAACACATAGGCTAATTTTATTAAACCCGCGCGAACGGAGTCGCGGGTGAGAGGTATTTTTGATATATCCTTTAAAGATTCCAATCAAGATCTAAGTGCGCTATTCAATCATTACTTTCCTTTTATCAACTTATACAAACTATTTCGAGACGATTCAGATATGTACGTATTCCATGCTTCACTTTGTTGTACTGTTCTAAATTGTATACTTGATAAATGTTAATATGCACATTCATATAACCTATAAAATTCCAATAGATACAAAATTAACTAAATTTTTGATGCTATTCACTAAGTTTCCTATTCCAAGGTCAGTAGTTCATTGCTTTCGCCATTTTTGCAATCTAATTGACTTGGTAAATAAAAAATATTGAACCTTTTTCTGATAATTTCAAATGCCTCTTATATTCCTCACCTACTATATTCCGAACATGATCATTTGGTTGTTGTTCAATTAAGCATTAGACGACTAGATTAGTATCATCTCCTATCTAGTAATTTACACATTAGAAAGACTTATTAAACATATCGTCCTACTCATTTTCTTGAAAAAATAGAGATAGCAATAGTTTTTACAGCAATGAAAATTCAAATTTAGAAGATTGCCAATATCATAATTAAATTACTAATAAACGTCAAAGTTGAACCTTGAAATGTCCCGCGCCATGGACCATGAGAAATCTGTTAATCAATTTGAACTTTGGAATCTAAGGAGTTATTAGTTCCGAGAATGACTTGCAGATATCTCATTGTTTAACTTTACTATTACTTCACTCACCGAAATGGTCATGAAGCTTCAACATTTCAAAGAAAAGTATTGCCTAATCATTAAGTAGGTGTTTGTAATGTTAGATTGATGATATAGCAATATTTTATGATTAAGAAGACATTTTGGGATTTTACGTCGAAGTTAAGATTTGAAATTCTATCAACATATTTTAAAATATGGTTTTATACGAGGACGTGTCATACTTATTTTCAATATTGTATATAAATTGCCTATTTTATTTTATTATTGTATTAATTTCTTAAGAATCACAACAAACATGTGACAACATAACCTGTATTACCATGTATTGGCCACACGTGATGTCAATCAAATTGATTAAAAGGAAAACTACTTGAATAAGTACACGATGCTCTATTTATGCTTTTAACTTCTAACTTAAGTTGTACTTGTAACATTTTCAGTCTGAGGTCAATAAATGTTTATGTACTTACGTGTTACTTGTGTTATTGATGTCCAAAATAAATACGAAGAAAATTGTAATAAAGATACGAAAAAAAGGGAATTACATGAAATAAAATTCAATATTTTTTAATCTATTTAATTAACAAAAAACACAACACACTGCATTGAGTCACTCGTTTTGTCATAAATATTATAACAAACGAACATTTTAGTTAGCACAAATCAAGGGTTTCTTTAGTTTCGTTATGGCATACTATTTCGAGAAAATTTAATAAAATTTAAATCGCAGTACAGTTCGTTAACCCTCAAAATGTGATAGCCTCCCTAAATTACAATCATTGGCATTAGCCTCACTAAATGGCTGCTTATTTACCCACTTTTACAATTAAAAAGTTAATAAATTGTCTAAATCTTATTGGACGGTGGTACACCTTGAAGTTCTAGGCTTGATATCTATCCCGACCATCTGTAAAATAAAAATTGGTGTTAAATATTAA